TAGATTGCAGACCCTCCTCCCCATCCACTTCCTCCCATCCCCCTAGAGCAGACAGAAAATTGGCTTAGGGGCAAGATATAGGAGTGACATTTGCTAGAGGTCACCTTCTGACAAAAGCCCAGCATTTCTTGCTGACATTTTCTAGTTCCCAGAAGGCAAGGGAAATGACAAGGAAAACAATTCCTCTGACTCTGAAGTTGGTGATGTTGCAGAGACAGGGACCTGTTAAATATCATTATGCACCAAATAAGGACATAACTAGAAGGCACCATATAGAAAGCAGAGAGCAGCCCTCACCAGACACCAAATCTGCTGGTGCCATCATCTTGGACTTCCCATCCTCCAGAAGTGTGAGAATAAAACCTCTGTTGTTTATAAACTACCCAATCTACGGTACTCTGTTATAGCAGCCCAAATGGACTAACACAGCTACTTTTGACTCTTCACTAACTTAGACGAAGATGTTAGTATCCCTACACTTCTCTTTTCACTTTAGTTTTTCAAATTTTGCTGGCCCTACTTTTATTTTTACATCGTCTGATTTATCACATATACAATCCATTTCACAAACATAATTTAGACTTTTATTTATTTTGGCTATAGTTTGATTCTGAAAATTGAAACCAAGTAAGTAGAGTTTGTATTATTTTGGCTTTGAAACGTTTGCCATTGCAGAACTACTCAGGCAACAGTGTCCAGTTTTTTCTCTGTGGGTTCAATGGTCCCAGCTCCTGTTCTACTAGAAATAGAATGTGCCTAGTTGGAAGGTCAAATTTCCAGTGGCTTCTCTTTTCTTACACGCTCTCAATTCTTCCTCATCATGTCACAATCATGACCATGATTTCCTTGCACAGTATATTTTTAAATTTTCTTCCTGGAGTTTCTATTGCTTTTCTTTTTTCTTCTCAATAACAGTAACACATATTTTCTATAGGCTCAAACTTATCTTACTATCTATTGCATGAAATCACACACCCTCTTTCTTCAGTCTGATTTTCATCATTTTGTAGGTGGCCTGTTGTTCTCTTTGGCAGCTTCTTGAATACTTTTATTTTTTGTGTCCAAAAATTTCACAAACATTCATCTGACTTTTTTTTTAACCATTCACATTGTTAAATATTCAGCAGATACTTTCAATTTGAATATTTCTATATTCTATAGGCTTAAGAAATTTTCTTCTATTATTTTATCAATAATTTCTTCTCCATTATTTTTTGTTATCTTTTCCTCCTTGATTGAGTCTGTATGTCTTTACCTTTTGCCTCTATTTTTCATTTTTTTAAATGGAAGGGGATAATTTTACTTTCTATGAAATGCTTTCAGCTTATTCTTTCAGTAATTTGTTTTAAGGTATTTGATGTTCTTGTTTTGTAGTATTCTATTTTTATCCTATTGATGTAATTTCTTCCTGAAGACTAATTAGATTTGTTTTTAGAGTTCTCCTGTGATTTCCGAAATACTTAGATTTCTCACTGAGTCTCTTATTCCTTATGCATATCCCCTCTCAAAGTGCTGGTTTTCCTCAGATATCGGATGATTCTGGTTGTAGTTTCATATTCAGGGATGAAAGAGCAGGCTGTTTATTCAGGACTGCTGGAGACAATTACTGTATGTTGACTAGGTGCTTAGCTCTTCCATTAGTCCCTTGCTGGAATGGCAAGTATGGCTGGTAGTTCTGTGTCAGTGGACAAGACTCCTCCGCTGGAGGATTTTGCTTTCAGATGTGTAGCAATTGTGAGCTAGCCATCAGACTGGGCTTCCCCCAGCTGGATGTTACATTGAGGAGTGCTTTGCTCTGGGGAACCCATATCCATACTCTAAGTCTTAGTCTTCCTCAGAAAACTCATTATTTTTTGCTTGTACATGCACATACACACACACATTACATATGCAAAAACTTTAGTGGCCGTATTCACATCACTTTGTTTTCAGTCATGCTAGCCAGGCTCTGAGTAAGAATGCAATAATTGTTTTAAATGACCGTATAATAGTAACACGTAGCTTTTATGTATTTGCTTCTGAGGGTTCGCCACTCAATAAGATATGCCCTCTGTACCGAAGCAGCTAATAATCTAGTTTCTAATGGAAGAAACAGATGTGTAAACAAATCACTATAATAAAGAGAGATAAGTGGGATAGAATGTGTTTGTACAAAGTACTGGATATATTGAGGAATAGACATTAAGTCTGAACCAGTGTGTGTGTGTGTGTGATAGAGAGAGAGAGAGGAGAGAGAGAGAGAGAGAGAGAGAGAGAGAGAGAGAGAGAGAGATATCAAGGAGATGCTGCAGAGAGAAGGCGGCATTTCTAGAGGCCAAAGAGCATCTTGGGTGAAAGTACAGCCTCTGGATCCAGGCTGCTTGGATTGGGATCTTGCCTCTGTCGCTTACTGGTTATCCTTGGACAAGTTATCCTCTCTTTTCCGGTTCCCTCCCCTGTAAAATGGGCACACGATAATAGTCCTGACAGCACAGGGTTTTTATGAGGATCAAATGAATTAATATGTGTAAAATGCTTCAATGATGCCTTCCACTCAATACATGTTAGTTGTTATTATTCTTGCTATTATTTCTTGATGTGGCCTTGGATGATAAGTTCATAGCTGGAGAACAGGCAGATGGCTGTTGCTGGGGAAATGAGTGCTGTGAGAGAAGGCATGAAAGTGCAGGCACAGTTAGAGACGGGGTGCTGGTTGAATGTGACTATGTGACTAGAATCCAGGGTTCCAGGGCTTATGCCAGGATAAAACCAAAAGGAGCTGGGTGGACCCCAGGGGGCCTTGGGAGCACACACAGGAGCTACTTACACAGCCTCCCGTCATCGTATTCTCGCACTACTGTGTGCATACTAAGTAACACTGTTAATGAAGTTAGGGATTCTTTAACATACGCAATTTTTAAAACTTCTGGAGGCTCCATTTAATAGGTGGTGTGAACAAATTGGGAACAGTAGGAACACATAGAAATGTCTCTCTGAGGAAGTGACGGGATTAAAAATAATTGAATGAAAAGAGCCCAGGGAGAGGGGAGGAGTTAATGAAGAGGGCTAGATGTCTAGGAAACTTCGAACTATGGAATCCTGTCCAGTGTGGGGAAGGCTTAGAAAGGCAGATTTTGAAAAGACATGAGGATGAGATTTCCAAGCCCATAGAGCCACCAGACGATGTAACCGCTTGCCCTGGGAGACAGCAGGCGTCCAGTCACTGGAAGTGCTCGTGCCAGTGGAGGTTGCTGGATGAGTGTTGACAAGCGGGAGGGGGAACTTCTGTGTGGGGTGGGTGCATATTATCCAGGATTCTTTCAGTTCCAAGTGTGCATGACCTCCAGGCCAGACCCATTTCTAAGTTTCTCCAGCTGCAGTCTCAGCACCTTCTCCCCCTCTCCCTCACCAGTTCCAGCTGTGTGGTTTCACTTTGTTTCAGAAGCTTCAAGACTGAAGGGAAGGATTGGTTGGCACGAGCAATCAGGCTGGGACTAAGGCTCTAAGACCACTCTTGTTTGCTATACCATTGGGATGTCTGCCCAATCCAGGCCCAAAAATAGCTTTAAAAGATCTTTAGTCAACTGCTTCCCACCCTCTGATTACACATGGCCTGCACTGATCTTTCCCACGATCAGACTGTATTTCCTAATACCGCTCAGCCTCCTTCGTCTGCTTTGCAATAATTCCCAATCCCTGCCTTGTGGGCTGGGAGGGTCCTTACAAGCATCTACCTCCACAAAGCCTGGGCTGACTGGGAAACCGGGGCATGCTGAGTCCCCTGCACACCCAGCTCCTCCTTTATCCGCCTTGGCTTCTTTCAGGCCTTCGTCTGAGGAATAGGACTGCTTTTTCCTGGCTCCTATCATGCCTTTACCTAAAAGTTCCCAAGCCCCAAAAGCCATTATTTTTCATTCAGGAGGCTTTTACAAGTCAAGTCTCATCCTTCGAGATTCATCGGTACCACAAGCCAGAAGTGAGCATTGAAAGCTTCAATGTTGCCGTGGACACATGCTTTAGGGCCTGTATGAGTCTTCAAAGAATAAAATTAAAATGATATTTTCATAGGAAGGCAGAGAACCTAAGGAAACTGAAACAATTTCTCTAAAATCTGGCCAATGATCCTTGCTGAGGACACTGATTTGCCCTGTGTTTTATGCAATACTGTGCAAAATAAACACTGTGCACAAAGAGCACTAATTGCTTCATTTATTCTTCCATTTAGCCAGGGAAATATCAGAGCTCATTCAGCCCCAGAATGGAAAATTACATGTTGAAGAGAAAATAACCACACTGAAGGAATGACAATGCAATTCAGGTTCCACTCGTTCACATATTTTATTTATCCAGTGAAGGAAGGAAAAAAAAAAAAAGACAGAAATCTAAGGTGGCACAATTCTGAGAGAATACCAAGGTCACATTTTCCATTTTCCTCAGTCTAATTTAAATCCACAGATTAAATAAAAGTGCAAGAGATGAGATGAACATCTTGCTGGGGAATAAAACATCTTGTTTGACAACGAAAACCTTTTTTAAGGTTAATATCTGCCCAGGGGTTTCTTATTTAAGGATGGCTTACTTTTGTCTTTATAAAAATATGACAGCATTGTATAAACTGCTGGGGTTGGATATTTAAGCGTAGGGCGTAAGGAGGCTGCTGACTTGGTGACTTCCCAGGAGTCTAGTTCTGGAATTAGAGCCACAAATTTCAGAGGTGGTGAGAGCCACAAAAATATCATTAAACATCTGTGGGGGAGAGACTAGATGACATGTTGCAAAAAAGGAATCTCAGATGTTTGAACAGGGAAGGCCCTCGGCTATCACAGTCTAGGACTCCCATTACACAGATGGGGAAAGTGAGGCTTGAGAGGTTAAATGATTGCCCCAAGATCACACAGCTAGTTGGTAGAAGGAACTCAAATTTCCCGGTTTCTAATTCAATGCTTTTGGACACTGTATAAGCAGAAACTCCTAATATTAATTTCTTTGTCAAGATTCTAAAGTTGACAATTTTAGCTTTAAAAAAAAATCTGGGGAAAGCAAAAAGATTTGTGGCGAATGCTGATAACTTTGTATCCAAGCTCAGGAACCTCACGTCAAGGTACAGTTCAAAGACTAATGTTTGGGTTAAAATCAGATAATTCCATGTTTCTGTGAACACACATGACGATATCTTACACATCATGAGACAGGCATGGAAGACAGCACCACGCAGGAAAGATTAGAAAAATCAATATTAGAAAATAAAACGGTCCACGTTAGCCACTGGTGGACTGGCCTAAACTGTTCAGCACTTTCAAATAACACGGGAAATAACACACAGTCATGATACGTGAAAGAGGTGTTGCGGAGGCCTCCTGGTGGGCACACAGAAACACCCTTTGTAAGCAGCTAGATGCATGTGCATAGGTTGACACATGGCATCGACCTTCACCAGAGCCACCTGAACTGAGCCAGCGCGAGTTCACCCATTCTGCTGCCCACAGCCGAACGCGGCCCTGGGGCAGTCAACACCAAATCCCTGTCACCTCAAAAACTGGCCTGCTCCTTTTAACCATGTGCATCAATCAGACAGGAAGGACTGGGGTGGGGAACATTTCAGGTTGCTGATAGAGGCTGGACGTTTTGAACTCTGGACAAAGTGACTGGAATCTTTGTTTCCCCTGGGCCTGGAGCTTTTGTAACTGGCTGAGGGTGGGCCTTGATGTCTGCAATTCGCTCTTTAAACTTTTGCTGAAGGAACTTTTCTTCTTTGGAGTAGCTTTTTGCAAACACGGACATCAGCAGGCACCCTGCCATGGACGTGCCCCCGATGCAGAAGAGAATAGCTCCTGCCAGCTTGTACATGTCGAGGGCACCGTTAAACTGGATGGCATGCGTGTCGACCACCACGAAGTCAGCTTCGCCAAACGCTTCGATTTTGGGGGGCACAAGAAAGCCCACCGCCAGAACAGTCAATCCGAGAATCACGAAGACTGTACCTGAGATGAGTCCGACCTAGAGGAAAAGAACAACAGAAGCCAGATGGAATAAGCAAGGTGCAGCTCTCCTCTGATCTCTTGGGGGCAGGACCTGTCCTGTTTTTGAGAGAAGTGAATATTTCCAGTTCCCCCAAATTGGCATGAAAACCAAGAAGGTGAAAGGAAGACCTTTCTGATTTTAATGCCAGCCAAAAACTGCAGCCCTGGGTCTTGATTTTTGGCTGTACGTACAATGCTTTTCAGTTGACAAAATCCACTTTTGTTTACATTGTCCCATTTGGTCTTGAGGAAGAATCAGCTGGCCTGACTCCATCCCCTAGGCTTTCGAGTTGTTAGAAGCTGGCTAAGGGAACTCACGCAAAGCCACGCTGTCCTCCCGCCAGGCATGTTCGATCTTGCAGAACATTAACACCAGACAAGCCTATTCTGTGGCCAGGATGAAGTAAGACAAAACAATGCCCCTGTATAATTTTTGTCTAAGTAAAGACAAAAACAAAGCCATTGTGCAAACCACAAAAATACCAAACGACCCTGACTAATATGAATGACTGCCACTTTTTTACCCATTACGACTTTAGTCTCACTGTAGTCTGCCCTCCCTGTATGTAAGATTTATTAAGATATTCAATCACAGCATTGTCCCTGACAATTCACAGTGAACTCTTGCTTCATTAGACCCTTTCCCAAATCACCCAACCAAAGCCCACATCCTGTAATACTTCCTTTTTCACACTCTCTTACTGAAATGCCCCATAGTCCCTTACGGTGTCATTCTCTCTCACTGCAATGAGTAATAAACCCAACTTGTTCAATATTATAGGTATGTTCCTGATGGTTTTGGCTGGAGGACATTGACAGTCTTTGTAACTCTCCACATCTTTTTCAAGTAAGCAGAGAAGGAACCACAATTGCCAGTTTACAGGTTAGGATATGTAGCCTCAGAGAGGGAAAGTCATTGGCCCAGAGATGGACAGATTGCAAGTTGCAGAGACAGGGCTTAGATCTGTCCTCTTTCTTTTCTCACATATGGCTGTTTGGGCTGTACTTGTGCAGATACTAAGTGTTAAGAGTAGCAGATGGAGGTTAAGCTGCATTAGCTCAAGTTCTAATGAACTGTAACACACTGAAGATGGAAAGAGATGTCCCATTTGATGGTTGAAGCACACAGATTTGGAAGGAACAAAATCAGGCTTGGATTCTAGCACTGCCACCTAGCACTTGAACTGTAGAAGGAAAGTTGTGTAAATGTTCTCATTAATTTCCCCATCTACAAAACGACAGGTGATAATAGTACCTACTTCACAGAGTTGTTGTGAGGACTAAATGAGATCATGCATGAAAGCACTTAATCTTGTACCTGGCTAAGTAATAAATTGTAATAAGTAGATATTACTATTATTATTATTTGGAAATACACCTCTTGTAAAATTGTAATGCTTCATTGGCAACAGATTGCAACAATTGCTCAGCATTTGGAATAAGAAATAGAAAATTCTGTTATTTATTTTTTAAACACATTTTTCACTTCCTCCTGCTCCTAATTGCTTTTAGTTAGAATAACAAGGCTGGGAAAATAACTAAATATAAAACACCATTTAATCTTCAATATTTAAAGTGTATTTGTTTAATTAACTTATTTATTAAATTTTAGGGATAATGCACTAATAAAGGAGGCTTAGCTAACTAGAAGGAAAACGTAGGCATGAATCCATCACCCTAGCAAAAGGAGGGAAAGGGAGAACTGCTATTACTGAGCATCTATTATGACCTAGCATAGTGCTAGATGTGCTTTTCATTAAATCCTCATAAACATCTTATGAGATATAGGTATTTTAATTCCCATTTCACCTATAAGAAACTGAGGTTTATAGGGCCAAAGAGCATAGTTCAAGGTCCCATAGTTAGTAGGTGGCATGACTGGGTTCTAATCCAGACCTGTGTGATCACTCTTACAACCTTTCTTCTACCCATAATACTTCACCAGTTACTATTTTGTATATTTCCTTCCATTATTTTTTATTTGAACTTCAAAAGAGGTTAAATCACCATATATGGACAGATTTCCTTGATGTAATACTGTAAAGACACTGAAAACAAAAAAACCCAAAAAGAGTCAATATGATGTCTTCTGGAAAAAAAATAGAAGCTATTCTACATAAGATAAAAGTACTATAGGAAAAATTGGGCTGTAAAATATAACATTTTAGATTGCTTTTTACATTTTTCTAAAAATAGTGGCAAGTACATTCACCTTCCAAGACTAACTATTATTTATAACTTAAGAAATGACTCACAGCAGAAAATTCTGAATGCACAAGCTAAATTAATTTAAATATCCATGGTGACATGCTTCCTATGTGGCTAAATTACCTCCCTCCTCAAGCACCAGCACTAATTCTCAAAAACTGAGGGCAACAAAAATGTCTCCATCTTAGTTTCTGCTATTCTGCAGAGCCAGGGGGGCCAAGCTCTCTCTGTCTTGTGTTTCTGTCTTACCCTCTCACCGCTCTTGTTGCAGCATGACGCTCAATAAATATCCTGACTGACTAACTGAAACCACCAGACTGCTGAACATGGAGCCAGGTGATTGATGCTCAGAGCAGTCTGCTCCTCAGCTGAGCCATGCTTTCGATGAAAATCCACTCTTGGACTATCCCTCAGAAGCTAAAAGGCAAACCATGGCTTGCAGATGGCAGAACTCCTGCTCACTTTAAGAACTGGAAAGTGGCTGGCCTCGCTGAGCCTTCTCCCTTTTCCTATTTACATCATTGTGTCACAGAAAGGCCTGCCATCAGCGGCGGGGAGGACAAGCATAGTGAACAGCTGACCCCAAGCACTCTGAAGGTGCCATCAATGCAAGTCTAATGAGGATCTCCCAAGGTGCTTGCTGAGGGATTTCGAACTGTTAAAGCATGGGAGGGACAGCTTGGGACAACAGATGTGAAGGAGCATTGACGGAATCAAGAGTAGGCTGCTGCTTAACTTCTCTGAGAGTGGGATAGAGATGAGGAGGCCAGGTGGGATACATCAGCTTAATCCTGGTACTATGCTGGAGTACTGGAGGGAATAAAAATTTGGGGAGTGGTTCCATACTGTATCATAAAAATTGTCTCTGGACACAGTTCTGAGTTGAAGTGGTCCTAGGTCTAAGAGAAAGAAGCCTCTATTAAATTGAGAGAGTAAAAAATTGCAATGCAGAGGTTGTTTAAGGGCCTGAGGAAGCAAAGCAGTGGTGCTGAGGGCCCCACGGAAGATCTGGAGTGATGCTGGAAGGGTCTTTCTCCAGCCACAGCAGAGCAGCCTGGGACCCTGGAGTGGTGAGCTCAACCCCAGTGGTGAGAGTTTTGAAGGATCTCTCTAGGCCATGACAAACCCCAAAGCAGCAGCAAGGACAGTTTTTGTGCTGTGACTTCTGATGACTCTCTTGGCTGTGGTGAGGGTATGTGAAAACTCGGTCTCTGCTGACGGAAAGCAGAAGTGGGTGGAGTGGGGTTGGGGAGCTCGGATTCCAGAAATTCTACCGGTGGGGGCTACAGGCCAGAGACAGCTGTTATTTTGACCAACATCCCCTTCGTTGTAGCTCAGTGAGCTGATGAGGTCTAAGACTGCAGTTTACTCCAGTAGAGCTGGCAGCAGTGGCAACGCAGCTGTTCGGGCAGAGAGGAGGCAGTAATGACTGTTGGAAGCAAGCACCAGCATGGCAGGGAGGAACAGCGTGGGGTGTGGGATTGCTGCGTGGAGCGACATGTGAAAGGCGCCATCTGGGTTAGAGGAAATTCAGGCGAAGCACGTCAAGAGTGAAGCCTGGATTTTTCTTCTTCATCAGCCCTAAGGGCTGCACTGACCTCTGCTTAGCAGGACCCGAGCTCTGAGTGGTGACCTTTGCCAGCAGAGGGGGCAGACTCTGGCCCGTCGTCTGGCTCTGCTTGCCTCAGATCCACACTGAGCTTTAGAAAGCAAGAGCTGATGCCCGGAGATGATCTAGGTCCTTCCACATGCCTGACCTCACAGTCTTCCCAGATCCCTTCACCTGGGCAGTGAAAGCACATCAGCTCTTCCATGTTGCAGAGACTCCTTCCCTCCAGCATGTAAACATCCAACTGCTTCCAACTTCAAAAGCTATTCTAGAGCCCTGTGCCCCTCTCTAACTACTGCTAGAGAGCATTCCCATCCTTGACAGCCAAGTGTAGTCCTCCACTGTGTCCTTGAAACAGCCTTCTCTGAGGTCACTACGGACCTCTTAATAATCAAATGCAATGTGATTTTTCTTTCTTTATCTCACTTAAATATTCTATAGTCATTAATATTAATATTAAACACTGATGCTTTCTTGAAACCCACCCCTATGGTTATTTCTGACACACTCTCCTGTGTGTGTCTCTACCTCTAAACAATTCACCCTCAACCTGCTTTGTAAGATGTTCTTCATAAATTGTTGTTCTTCCCCAGGGTTCCACTCTCAACCCCTACCTCTTCTTATTCAATACGTTTTCTCTAGGGTTTAATGTGTTGCCATGGTCTCGACTCACACCTACGACTTCCAAACCTCCAACCCCAGCCTGGACCACTCTCCTGAGCGTCAGACCGTATTTCTGACAGTCAATAGGAGGTTCTGTACAAAAATGTCCTAATACTTGCTCAAACCCAAAATATTCAAAATGGTGCTCTGTAACTTCCTTCCAAATGTCTCTATTTTTGTTCCTTCCGTCCACCCATTCACAGAGTCCCTCCTCACGGTCACAGGCACAGAGAATGTGTGTAGTGCTGTGTGTGTGTGTGTGTGTTTACATGTGACCACGAGGCATCCCTGCCAGGAAAACTTAGATTTAATATCTTGCCCCCTCACTGTACTCAAGCTGAAAGAATGAGAGATTTCTATTACGCAGCCTTTCAAAGTCTTCTGTGATCTGGCTCTTATGTGCATTCCTGGGTTCAATTCCTAATCCCTCTTCTCTAACTTCTAAACATTTACCCCAGGCATACTGGACTATCTGCAGTCCCCCGAACATGCCACACTCTCCCACAACTCTCAGCTTTGCAATGCTTTTCGTTTTACTGGGATGCTCATTGACAGGTATCTCCTCTGTGGAGCCACTTCTTCCTCAAGCTGCATCATGTACGCACTCCTCCCTGTCCCGCAAGCCCGATGTTCCCAGTAATGACTGTGACTACTATTACAAGAGGGTTTAGCAAGCTGAATTGTAACAATCTGTGTGCATGTCTGTCTCCCCTACTTGACTCTGAACTCCTTCAGGTCAAGGGCTATAGCTCATTCAGAAGTGAAGACTGGCATCTTATTCGCATCTGAGTCCTAGAGCCTACCATATAGCCTAGTGCATGGTGGACAAACAAACATTCGTGTAAAGAAAGAAAGAATAGCACTGGAAGACAGATGTTATGTAGATGCATGTGATAGAGCAAAGATCTAACTCAGACACATTTGATTCCAATCTCTGTTCTCATTACACCCTGCCAAGCTGCCTACTGCTGAGGAGCTGGCTCAAGAGCAGAGTCCTACCAAAGCACTATGAGCACAGCCCCCAGGGAGAGATCAACATGGCCCTAGCAACACTACAGTGGAAGAGGGAAGAGGGAAATCCAGCAATTCGAACCACCTACAGATGCAATATGAATGAAAAGAAAAAACATAAAAAAGAATTGCAATAGAAACATAAGCATAACTGGCACCTTTTTCTGTATTGGTACAAAATGCCTCCTAAACCCACTGGGATGAATTCACTCATATTCCCCTGGAGGAAACCCAAGAACAGTTGGCTTTTCCCTTGGTAGAGATGAGGTCTCTAATACGGTGAATTCTTAGCTAATCAAGGTTGACACAAGGCTTCTTATGTTCTATGGTTAGAGTGTGAATTTTGGACTTGGATTTTTCTGTATTATAATTTCTATGAGACCATGGACTTCTGCCTATTTTTTTCTCTGAAGTAGGCCCAGCACAACAAGGAATAAATAATTTTTGGATCTTGTTCATGTAAAATGGAAGGGAGAAAATATTGAAATCTGAATTGTGGGGTTGGTAATTTACTGTGAGTTCTTTGTTTTAAATCCATAACTATGTTTTATTTGACGGGTTTACAGCTTCACAAATCACATAACAACTAGTGCTATGGATACACCTGAATGCTTACAATATTCCGTATGTCAGTGGCATTTTAGGTTCTTGGCACAATAGATTTGTCAGGCAAATTCTTTTTTTTGACAAATAGGGAAATAACCACCCACTTATCTGGGTAAATACAAGATGTGCCAAGCTTGGCTATTCATTTCATTGGCTCAGGCCAGTCAGGATTCATCAGAGGTGAGATTTCTACAGGGCAAGGACACTGACTTGACCAATTCTGATACAGAGTACGTGACAATAGTATGATTTTGAATTAACACAGGTCTTGGGCGATCCCTGTTAACAACTGTGTTACCCAATACTTCATTTATTAACTAGATTTTCACTTTTATTTCCATTGTAGAATTCAGTGCGCCATCCAGCATCCAGCAATAGTAGCTAATACAGTCAATGCTTAGTGAGTACACACCCAATATTATTTTAAGGTCTTTGTAAATGTTATCTTATTTAATCCTCACAACTTTTATGTGGTAGGTACTATAAGTATTACTTTTAGAAGGTCCATTAAAGTCAATTAATTTACCCGAGGTTACAGAGCTATTAATAAAAGAGCTGGGATTTGAACTCATGTAGTCTGAGGTCAGAATCCATGCTCATAATTATTATGCTATACTACCTTTTGTGACACGATATCGCCAATAAATTGCAAGATTATGTCAACGTTAACGTCAAAAACTCTGGGAACTTTTGGGAGAAGCACAGAATGTTAGGGCTGGAGGAGAATTTAGGCAATATCTAAGGCTGCATCTTCTCAGTATCCCTTCCTGAAGCCTCCTCCTTTTCTCAGTTTCTAAATGTTGGAACATCCCAATGCCCTCTTCTTTTCTATGTCTATATTTTCTTACTGGATGATCTAAGAAATCTGGTGCCTTATATAGATTCTATGTGTCAATAACTCCCAATGCATGAGCTTCAGATTGGTATATTTAAATTGCCACTAGAAATCTATACCTGGATGTCTAACAGGCATCTCCAATATAACATGGCCAAAGTCAAACTCTTGGTTCCCCACCCATAATTTTATTCATCCTAGTAAATTATAAAACCATTCACTAAATAGCTTAGGCTACAAGTCTTGGGGTCATGCTCAACTTCTCTTTATCTCATATCCCATATCTAATTCATCAGCGTGTCCTGACAGCTTGGCATTCAAACTTTATGCTAAATCTGACTACTTTTCACCATCTCCGCTAACACCACCCTAATCTAAGCCACGAGCATGTCTTGCCTGGGTACTTTAACAGCCTCTAAATTAATCTAGCTGCTTTTGCCCTGTCCTTCTTAATCTATTTTCTGTACAGTAGCCAGAATGATCCTGTCAAAATATTGGTTGGACCATGTTACTATGCTGCTGAATATCGTCAGGTGGCTTCCCACGTCTCTGGAGATAAAAGCCCAAGTCCTCACTTCTGTTTACAAGGCGCTACATAAATCATTTATGCCTTGTTATTCTTCTGAATTAATTGCCTGTCCCTTTTCTCACTCCACTCCAACCAGACTTGACTTGCTGTTTTTCAAACATACCAGACTTTTTCCCATTTCAGAGCTTTTGGACTTTCTATTTTCCCAGCCTAGATAATTTTATAGTCTGTTCCCTTAGCTCATTCTGGTGTTTTCTGAAATGGCATCTCCTCTGAAAGGCTTTTACCATCAGCATATCTGAAGGGAGTCTCCATCACTCCCGTCCTCTTATCCTGATTCATTTCTCTTGGTAGCACTTATTACTACCTGACATTCTATCATGTGGTTTCTTTGTTTACAGTCTGTTTCCCATGATAGATTGTGAGCTCCATGAGGAGAGGGACTTTTTCTTCTCCTTTTTACCACTTTTTAATCTCCAGCACTTTGGACCCCCTTGGCACATGGTGGGAGCTCACTACTTGCCTGTTGAATGAAAAAATACATAACTTAGTGAGGCGCCTTCGTTCGAGGAAGCTGAGGCTCAGAGGGCCTCGTGAGCACACACTGGTGGAGACAGACCTGAGACACTGACCAGTCCACCACATCTCAGCATTAACTGTCTCTGAATACCTAATTATTTCTTTTTAATAATTGTTGCAACTTGTCACATGATACTTACCAAGCCTGTAAAGGAGACTGAAAGAATATAATGTTTTGCCTATGGATAGCTTCATAGTTAGTGAACTTATTGGCACATTATTATCAGTAGCAATAATAATAATTAATATGGCAGATGTACCTATTTATGTGTAACCTGCTCATCAATAATTATGCTGTGTTTAGAAGCTTTCTTTGGCCCAAGGTTTAGATTCTCCTTTGGTAAGGGAAGAAAAATGTGTTTAGTATGACCAGGAGTGATGCACACATAGAGAGTACCAAACCTCTCAGTTCTCTATAGCTATAGTATTTACCACATCCAGTCATTTTTCTATTCCCTGAGCTAGACATATGCTCTTTTCTTACCTTCCAGAATACTGAGCTCCACCTGTTAGGTGATCTCTGGATCTGGAAATCATCCTCATACTCCCAGATTGAGGCAGTACAGTCCTCATAAAACTGGTGTAGGTAGGACCGGACTCCATAGCGCTGGTACCCGCCCTCGGCTGCAGCCTGTGCCTGCTTGGACCCACAGACGTTACTGCAAGAACTCATCCTTCCCGCCTGGAATGACAACATCCACATGGATCAGCCTCATATATGGGCTTTGGCCTCAGGATCAACAGATGTGAAAGATGAGAACCACGCTGGGTAATGTCAGCCTATTGGAACAATGCTCTTTTCTTAAAAGATATTTTTAAAGACCTGTCTTTCTTATAAGCTGCTCTTCTTTTCTGTTTAATGCAAAATTACTCTAAATATTCGATGACTAGAATCAGTTCTCCATAAATGAAATGAGATACAACAGCACAGCTCACTTAAATTATGCAAAAATTTAATCATGAGAAATGGCAACAAAGAAGCTAAGATTTTCATTGACTTGACAAGGTAACCTTTAGTCTCTTAGAATCCAGTAGTCTTTGCATTTACACACTAAAGAATTAGGCAGGCACTCTCATTTGCTATAGATGGAATTTGTCTTGGACTGTACTCTCAGATTCTCAACTACGTTCCCTTGTGGAGTCTACATGGTGTTATTCTTAACAGTTACTCTTGCCTTCAGATCTCATGTATCTTCCTCTAACATTTTAACAAATTGTCAAGTTGTACAGAAGCTCTATCAAAAAGCTGCCGAGCAATTTACGCCTCGTGCTTTATTAATCACAAATGGATTGGCCATTAAGTTACACCTCACTAAGTCTAACACCATATAGTTCCATCGTTACTTGTGGATACATCTGTCCATGTGTGTAGCTAGAGTATAATGTGAAGAGTCGACCCAGCCTTCTATTATTTTTCATGAAGTGTCTAGTATAAATAAGAATTCAGAGAATTGTTGATGAAACTATGCCCTGGGTGGGCTGCTTGGGGCTCTGCCTTTTTAAGATGGAAATTTCAACTTCATTTGACCTAACTGATACCTTTAGAGAGAGACATTAATATGGATTTGGTTATCAATTCATGGTTTTTTAAAAAAGGGAATTACTGAGGGACAGTAATTTCAGTGCATAAGGGAAAGGAATTCTCAGTTATCCTACGTTGGTTCTCTGGTTTTCTGGAGCCATATAAGCAAGTAAGCGTGTGGCTGGATATGTGGAATACTTGTTTGGATTTTTCAACGATCCTCTAGATGGTTTTCCTTGCATGGACATAGTCTATATGTGACAAAGTGAGGAACAATATGGAAGGTTATTTTCCCATTGAACCAGGTTTTCTCCGGGCTTGGGCTATAATCCAGGTCAACAGAAGCATATTAACTATTTCCAATTACTCATCAAGAAACCAGCTAGTAATGTTTACCTACAAGAGGAAAACATTAATCTACAGTTCTATCGAGTGCCTGTATGGAGCCACTTAGTTTGGTTGGACAGAATCATGGGGCTAAAATCAAAGTTGAAATCAGAGAGAGTTAGCCCATGGGCACCAAGTGAGCCCATGGATCCATAAGAACATCTTGTAAATGGGTACCCTTAACCACAAGTGAGTTTTGGTTAGAAAATGTAGTCAAATTGAGGAAAATATTCCTCTGATCTTAGAAAAATGATGGAAGCAGGTACTACTGATGGTGACCAATAACCTCATCTTTTTAACTGTTGGCCAATATTACACTTAGTGCTTCTGCCTTTTTCCTGTTTCAGGTATAGCTACCATCTAAAGAAATCACCCAGGAGCATGCAGGGAGGCAAAAGTTTGATTTTTATTTTTGACTTTTAAACATTCAGAAGGATATTATTTCATGTAAAGTCAAGCTTTTAGAATGTACTTTGCTTGATTAGAGCAGCAAAGTCTGACAGATCAAAAGAATATTAACCTAGCTTTCATATTTTAAGTGCCAAGATGATCTCTTCAGTACCTTCTATTTAATGCTTATACAATGAAGATGATTAATAAGAGCGTATTACCATTGGTACATACCTAGAATAATTTTAAAGGCATTTTCTTTTAAGATATTCTAATAAAAATTTCGGTCAAGGGGAGATGCGATTAGTATTACTACCTCTTCTTTGTCATAACGGAAACTGAGGCATAGAAAAATCACCTACTAAAGGTTATACCATGAGTCAGGGAGCAGATGAAAGATGACAACACAATAAGCAAGATTATGGGCTGAATCATGTACTTGCATAGTCAGAACCACCTCATCTAAATATATATTTTCAGGCTTCTATAAGGCATCAGAGACTTTAACATGAAAAAAGGACAAAAAATGGATATAATATGAATTTTAAATATCCCTCATGGCAAAAATAAGAGTTATTTTCCTTAGTTGTTGAAGTCATTTTTTCTCAGGATTGAGCTTTGTTGCAGAGAAGGACATGTGATATATTGTAGTCATTCCCTGTATAGCTTGATTCCAGCATCCTAAGTTAAATGTTTCTGCTTTATAAGATGAGACTTAGTTGTCTGACTTTGTTAAAAAACAGTATGGGTAAAATCATAAAAGAGATAGAAAGTCTCATAAGATAAATGTTTTTGAACCTGAGTGATTGAAGGTTCTACTTCATGTCATGGATTTTTAGTGATATATTCTGAAAAAGATGTCCCAAAAAGCCTTACTTTCTCTTCCAGAAGCACATAGCATGAACAACAACATGCCCTGTTTTATGCCAACCACACAGAGGAGAGAATGGGCTCTAATGCTAGTTTTTGATCTGCAATTTACTGGTATGACATTTTAGACAAGCACATTAACCTCTCCTGGCTATGGTTTCATCATCGTTAGAATAAGATGGTTGAACCAGATTAACCTCTAATTCCTTCCAGATGCAGCTTTTCAGGATTTCTGGGCTATGACTCCACAGAATGAGTCAACTATTGTTTGTTGTACAAACAACTAGGTTTACTGATTTCCCAGCTCGTCCCATACCAGCACTGATTGTCGGTCTCAAGTTCTTGCTTTATACTAGTATGTACGTATAAAGCTTCAGTTTAAAGGGCCACGTACGCTAATAGTTAGGTTAGTTACTTGCTACTAAGTAGACTGAATGTTTGTATATTGTTTGTTTAACAAGTTACTTCAATGTCATGTATGTTGCCTAAAATAGTAGACCCTGAGGGTCTAAGAGGTTTACACATCTTCCCAAACATATAACGAGTTGGAATTAACTCCTAGAGGAGAATGATCACTTGGAAGAACACATGCATTCTAAAATACAACATGTTAGAGGGAGGATTTTGGACCTACAAAATCTCAAGAGAGTTATATGCCTCATAGGGAAGCTGGTAACATTTTGTCCCAATACAGAGTATATTACAGTTATTTGGAACCTACTCTGGTGAGTGACACCTCTAGTATTATAAAAAGGACATGTGAGGTTACTTCCTAAAGCCACTTTGAAAGCTGGGCAATTATTAAACTATATATAATAAACTAGAATTGAAACAGAAATGGAAGGTATGTGCAAAGGGTTTTTGGCTTGGCTCAGTATTCACTTAAGGAGCAAGATTTCATGAGAATTCTGATGTTTGTATTTCAACAGCTGTAGTCACAGCAGCAGAAACAGTAATGTTAGATCTAAGGCTGTTGTTAAGCAACAGATCTTAGAGAGCTTCTTTCTTTAGAGAAAGCCTTAACAACACAGGAGGTACATGAAAAGAGAGGGTGAGTAAAACAATGTCCAGTATTGTATTTAAATTAGTCTACATTAATATTCATTTCATAAACATTCTAGTGGAGCCTGTTGCCTCAGCCCTCTGTCATTTTTTATCCCCTTGTCCAGATTTGTTTCTCTTCACAGCACTTGTTACTACCTGATAGTCTATGTGTGCTTTATTTGCTTATGATCTATCATATACATATTTATTTGCTTATGTCTATCATATACATGATAGACAGTAAGCCCCATGTGGGCAGGCACTTTTTCTATTCTGTTTACCACTTTAATCTCCAGCACTTTGTAACTTCCTGGCACAGAACTACATGGGTTGGTGTGGGTGATGCCCTGAGTTTGTCATTCCTCCTTTCTTTCACTGTTTTTAAAGCACTAACTATGTGCCAGGTACCTGTGAGATAAATAAGGTTTGCAAAGATGAGTGGGGCACAGTCTGCCCTTACTGGACTCTTGGATTAGAAGGAGACACACTCAGGAAGCCATAAATGCAACTAAATGGGCATAGTAAAGACAATGGGAGGGAGTACAAATGCTGAGAATCCTTTGAACAATTCCTTTTTTAGGCAAAAAAAGCCACGTAGGTGCCATTGTGATCACTATGTGTGCCAAAACACTGTAGTACTAATGTTTTAGAAATTTGAATTTCAGTTTAATACATGCAATTATATTATACTTTATTTTACAAATATTCATAGCCATGAAAACAGAAATAAGTCTTCATGCTTCATGAAACCCTAAGAACATCACAGACATTATATTATTTATCTTCGTGGTCTTCCTAAGTGAAGGGAGGCAGAAAATTGAGGCACAAAAAGGATGAGTGTTTTCCCATGGCTATATGTGTGAGTCAGTTGTGAGGCCAGGCACAGGCCTTGTTCTATTTATTCTCTTCAAAATATTACTCAATTTTTCATACTGCTTTTCTCTCCCATAAAATAATTCTGAGATAATGAAAGTGAAGTTCCCATTAGAGCCATTTTTTCACAAGGCCAGTGCTGCAAGAGACAAGGTATAGGCACAGAGACAATTTAGACCACTTATCCAACACCAAACCAAAAGGTCAATTCACTTAAAAAACTCAGCTAGACTCATAGTGGATGCAGGAAGGCATAGAAAGCCTGCTAACAGCTTTTTCACTTTTAAATCAGGCATTCTGGAATTATATAAGCATGACCTCAAAACTTGGAAATGTGTTTCTACCAATGGGTCATGTCAGAGACATTTTATCTGAGGATGGGGGAGAGACAGCAGTAGTGATTGTGGTTCTATGTTATGAACTTTTTTATATCCTCTAAATCAGTGAATATATAGCCACTTTTATAATTTTTGAAAGAGAAGTAATGATGTGCAATTATCTTGCTCATTATCAATCACTTTGATCCTTCAAGATATATTTTTTTAGCAGGGTACGTAAAGTCTAAAATCACAAGAAGAGAACAAGAACCCATATTCTCTTTCAATCTCCTTTATCTACATACAGAACACGAGGTGCTTATGAATCTACATGTGATGAAGTTTGAGTCTTACCTTTGAAGTCCTCTTCTTCTTCTTCTTGTTTATTCTTTGACCTTTCTTTTTAATGGCACATTTTTCAATCCTATTTAAGAAAAAAATCTCTGCAAAATGTAATACAGATTAAAATCTAAATTTCATAAACTATTCATATAACTTATAAAGAGTGATTTTAATATTGACAAAGAACTTCTTGTTCTAGATAGCTTTTTTAAAAAACAAAAGTATAATGTATTTTATAAATTAATGGGCTCTTATGATAATTTGTAGAGTAAATGCGATGACATAAATCAAAAGAGCTTTGTAAACTATAACACATTATACAAATGCTATTCTTATTTTGATGTAACTATATTCCATGTGGTTAATAATACCAACTACAAATGATCCATTTGTATTTTAAAAATTCTAAATAAAAAGGTTACTTGCTTCACAGATATTCCAGAATTAATCTTTTCTGGTGCTTGTTCTATTATGTTGCAAACTATATGAGTCTTAAAATCGTTGCATTTCCTGATATGTTTACATGCATTTTACACTTAGTAAGGCTCTTTGGATGATTTACTTATTAGGCTGAGTTTTACTCCTATATCCATTTTCTCTCTATCATAATCATTTTACTTTCCATCTGCCTAAGAAAAGCAGGTGCCCATGCAAAATTTAATTAAAAAGCCATTGCCAGCTATAAGGCTATTGGTTTCCTACATTACTCTAGTTATGTGAAATAAAATAATAACTGGGGCCATGTTTTTCAAGAAGCCATTAAGAATTCTTTCTGATGAACAGATCCCCACTTACTTGCAGGAGAACCTAAAGACTTGAGGTGAGTAAGCCCAGCTGAGGCCTGAATAACTGTTTTCAGCATTTTTAGGGTCAGTCTATACAGACTATTGCCAGCCCTTCAAAACCCATTTCCTTTTCCCCAAATTTTCTGAGTGGTATGCGAGCAGATTTGGTGAAAAAAGCAAATTATATTAGGATCCTGAATCTGGATAAGCAAAAGAAAACAAGCTAACCATAGGTCACTACATTCTCCTATCTTTCCTCCCTCTGTCCCTCTAAATTAAATTTCCCCTCTTTTCATCTGGAGCCTTCCCCATTTTCTCTTAAGAAATTGATTCCATACATGCCCTTCACCAAAGGTTGGCCTGGTCTGGAGCCCAAGGAGCTCTCCAAGGTTCTGAAAACATTTCTGCTACAGAGCCAGGAACCAATGAAGCAAATACTAGCTGTTTTTATCTGGAATAATAAATCCCAGCTCTGTTTTCTTTGAGGTCACCAGACCAGGGCTGACCCTTACCCCAACGTCCCTTTCTAACAACACATAGACGTGGGTCCTGAGATCATATCAAAACACTCAAGCACCTTTAGACATGGCAAAAGAGTGGGAAGGGTCAGTGGGGGCTCAATTAAGCCTGGAAAATAAATCCAACCAGCTTTCCAAACTCAAATACATGTATTTTACTTTCACCTAATATACAACTTTTTTTGTGTCTCAAAGTAAGGAAACTCTCAAGTTTTTAGCTGTACACCACCCAAATTCTTACATAACACAGACCACAAACCACCAAAGCATGGAGTTGGCTACCTATAATTTGTATGTTTTCACAGATTTTAATACGCATGGTTTTTGTAGAGATTTGTGCAGATATAATAAACCTGAATGGGTACTGTGTGTGTGTGTGTGTGTGTGTGAGAGAGAGAGAGAGAGACAGAGAGAGAGAGAATATTTGTGTAAGGAGGGAGGAAGAAAAGAGAGAAAGGGAGGAGAGGAAGAACTGGAGAAAGACATCTGGAGCATAGAGAGCCGCCACCCCTGGACTCCGCATAGGTTTACCTGCCCCCTCCGATCCCCTGACCCGTGGAGCAAGTGCAGCTAGCCTAGCCGCAGATCTCTCGCTGGGGTCCCATCGCTGCCGCCGCCGCCGCCGCCGCCGTCACCGCCGCTCCGCCTCGTGGAGCTCAGCCTGCGCGTGATTGACAGCCGGCGCCCCGCGTGCCCGCGCAGCCCAGGCCCGCGCAGCCGCCGCCGCCAGAGGGGCCGGCGAACGGCAAGTGGGCGGGGCGCGCGCTCTGGCACGCCAGTCCCCTTCCTTCCTGCACCCTGTGGCTGCGGCTTCCCCACGGGAAGGTGGCAGGCCTCTGGAAGGCTGGTCACTGGGCTCTGCTGAAGCTCCTCGGGCAGGCACCTTCTCTGCCTTTCTGGCTTGTGCACTGCTTTCTTCTCCTGCCCAGGCCATAGTCTGACCATAGTAGACTCAGTATATAGTCCCCGTTGCTTAAGGGCCAGGATGAGATCTGTTTTGGTTGTTTTTTTTTGAGACAGAGTCGCACTCTGTTGCCCGGGCTAGAGTGCCATGGCGTCAGCCTAGCTCATAGCAACCTCAAACTCCTGGGCTGAAGCAATCCTTCTGCCTCAGTCTCCTGTGTAGCTGGGACTACAGGCATGTGCCACCATGCCCGGCTAACTTTTTCTATATACTTGTAGTTGTCCCGATCATTTCTTTCTATTTTTTGGTAGAGACGGGGATCTCACTCTTGCTCAGGCTGGTCTCGAACTCCTGAGCTCAAAGGATCCACCTGCCTCGGCCTCCCAGAGTGCTGGGATTACAGGCGTGCGCCACCGCGCCAGGCCTGGCGGAAGATCTGTTTTGGGAAATGTGTCGTCCTTAGTCCTTAGGCGATTTAGTAGTGCCAACACCTGAGAGTGTACTTACACAAAGCTAGATGGTATATGGTACCATCTAGGTTTATGTACAGCTTAGTAGGCTATATGGTAGAGCCTCGTGCTTCTAGGCTACAACTCTGTACAGCATGTTACTGCACTGAATACTGTAGACGATTGTAACATAAGTATTTGTGTATCTAAACATCGAAAAGGTATAGTAAAAATATCATATTATAATCTTAGGGGACTGCTGTGGTGTAGTGTATGCAGTCCATCGTAGACCTAAACATTGTTATGCGGTACATGACTACATATTCTTTTTACATACTTTTTAAATTTTTTAAATTTTTTTGAGACAGAGTCTGATTCCATTTTCCTGCATAGAATGCGGTGGCGTCAGCCTAGCTCACTGCAGCCTCAAACTCCTGGCTCAAACGATCCTCCTGCCTCAGCCTCTCAAGTAGCTGGGACTACAGGCACGCGCCACCATGCCTGGCTAATTTTTTCCATTTTTGGTAGAGACGGGTCTCACTCTTGCTCAGGCTAGTCTCAAACTCCTGAGCTCAAGCGATCCTCCCGCCTCTGCCTGCCAGAGTGCTAGGATTACAGGTGTCAGCAACAGTGCTTGGTTTCATTTTTTAAAAAATGAATGAAGAGGCAACTGGACTTGATGTGTGTTTCTTTCACTGTTACCCCATTTGAGGTATATTTTCTGTCTTTAATGAGATAGCAGGTGAGGAGCTGGGCTGGCAGAGCACTGCGCAACTGAGAGAACTTTCTCTTATCTTTCAGCTTTGGATAGTTTCAGTTCCTCAGTTGTTCCTGACCCCAATGTCAGGAAGTCTAAATGGATGAGATGAAAGAAAGATGAAGAAAATGAATTAAATTATGATATTTAAGGAAAAACCAAGTAAATTCATAAAGGCAAGAGCACACCAGAAAATTACCTCTGAATGCCTTAGAAAATTTGCATAGGCATGAGCAAGTTAGTATATAAATCCAATAACTCCTGCTTTAGGAGACTTTCTGCAAACCACTGGTAGGTGGCATTTAATGAGAATGATTACTAAAATAGTTAATATTTGCATAGCCACGATACACATAATAATACCTAACATTTATATAGTGCTGACTATATGGCAGGCATTGCTTAAGTACTTTACATGTATATTAATACATACATATATGTAAATATTTGAAATCATTTAATCCTTATAGCAACCCTATGTGGTGCGCATTCTCAGTGATCCCAGTTTTACAAATGAAGAGACTGAGGTACAGAGAAGTGACTTGCACCCATGGTGATACAGACTCACAGTGATTTGTTGCAGGTCACACACTACTAAATGGGGTAGGTGGACTGCAATCTACAAGGTGATCTGGAGAGGATTTGGGGTAAAAAAAGTAATATTTTGCCCATTATTTCCTCACCTCCACACAGGTTTCAGGAAAAAGCCTAAAAAAATTAAGAAACACCTCTATTCTTATTAAACAGTAGGGAGATCAATGTGAATTGTTGCACAAATGTTTAGAGGGGCACCAAGAACAGGGATGGTTTTGTCTTCTTTGTTCCTTGGGTCCACAACTCTTCCCTAGCACTCTTCAACATCACTTAAACATGTAGGTGCCACTTTTTTCTCTCACCCTTCCCAGTCTGCATAAAAAGTGCCCCTTTCATGAGTTTTGAAATGTCGCTTGTTAGCTTGCTTTTCTCATGCTCAGTGTGTGGATCTGGTGAACACTTATTTATTCTCAGATCATAATATGGCCATGTATGTTTTCTCATCCTTGTTAATACATAAGAATCAGCTCATATGCAAAAATCCAGGGGCTCTTAGTTCCTCTTTTTATCAGAGATTAGGCTTTGGGAAGGACATGGCTCGCTGGTGCTGGGTGAGTGTTCTGGTCTCTCTTGATAACGCATCCATTCATTCAGAGAGGTAATCGAATTAGGACTTAGAATTGGGCAGTAGTGGGTTCTAACCCTGGTTCTGCCAATTCTTAGATATTTAACCCTGGTCACACTGCTTCATCACTCTATACTCCATTTTCCTCATCTATAAATATTTATAATAATACCTACTTCATAGGGTAGTTATAAGAATTAAATGAAATTATACTTATAAAGCATTTACCACAATGTCTGGTATATAGTAAGTACCCAATAAATTATAGCTATTGTTATTACTTTACTGTTATTTAGCTAAACCTTTCAAATGCCTGTGAGTATTTTCAGCTTGAAGACTCAAGGCACTTTTCATTTGCTTTATCTCCTTGTTTGCCAGATCTGTTGTCAACTTGTGCCATCTCTGGCTCCTCTACTGAAGTTTCCAATAATGTGACACGGGAGTCACATCCTTATTCAGTAGACTGGGGACAGCACGAGTCTTCCAGATTCCACTAGCATATCTGCTTTTGCTTCTCTCTCAACTGAAGTCACTTGAATTAGTGAGATAAAGTAAGACAAGGTTTATATACCTCAAGATGCCCTTAACATGTGAATTATCACCATTATCTTGCTTTTCACAAACCATAGTTTCTATTTGTTAGTTTTGCAAACATGAGGGAACAAAGACGATTACTTTGAAGCAACAAAGTTTTGACTTGGAACATATCACACCATTTCCTTGGGTCATATTATATGGAAGCATTAACAGTGAATAGCTTATTAATTTATTATTCAGCACACATTTGTTGGACGTCTGCCATTTAGAGCACAAAGGGTGAGGTATAAACAGAAGCATTATGGAAAGTCACAGAGAAGAGGGGTCAGGAGAGGTTGTTGTTTCCTGGGTTGTTTTCCAGAAGGGATACTGTGATTAGGCCTCAAACTCCTTTTCTAACTTCATATCTGATGGCTCTCCTTCTAAGTCCATTTCTCACCACACTGAACATATTGGCGTTCTTTGTACACACTTTGCACTTTTTTCCTCCCTTTATTTACTTTGGCGATACTTTTTGCTTCTTCACCCATACCTGTGGCTCCACGAGCTGCCTGTTCTTCAAGTCCTAGTACAACTGCCACCTTTTCAATAAAGCCTTTGATATGCTCGAGTACAACTCATTCATTGTTCTTTGTTAGAAACCCCTACAGCATCTAGTCTTACCTGTCATAGGGTACTAACAGGTGTTTTGTCTAGTATTGGAATTATTTTTGTGTCTATTTACTGTCCCTTGTTAGGCTTATGAGCATCAAAAAGGAAGGGTTTGTTCACGATTTACTTCATATTCCCATACAATGACTAGCACATTATTTCGTACAACTTAAGTACTCATTTTGGTAAAAGAATACATTAGCAAGTGAATAATGCGGATTTAGAGATGGGCCTTGACAGGTGGATAAGATCTCGATAGAAGCCGGAGGCAAGAAGGAGGGTCAAGGAATGAAAAGCACAAGATTCAGGTCACAACCTCAGCTCCCAGGTGTGTTGCCAGAATCCAGGGTCTGTAAGAGGAAGACGGAACAGTGGTGAAGAAGGGGCTCCATTCAGTTCCTACACTCAGCGGATGAGAGGCAGAGCCTCTAGCCAGTGGTGACCTCCATTGCTCCTCAGATGACAGCAGCCTAGTTGCCTCTGCCCGCCTGGCTGTGCAGCCTGTCCAAGCCGGGGCCACGGTGTTCTGCACCAGGCAGAACTTGTGATTAGTATGCGCTCTGTGTTCCCGGACAGAACAGATGTCTGTCTGCTTTCTTCTGCTTAATGATGATGACAGGTTCCCAGTGATCAAGATCCAATTCCACATTTTTTCAAACGCTGTGGCTGAGAAATTCTGTTTGGCCAGTTCTGAGGCCCAGCCTCCCATGTTGCAGGGAAAGTTTGCTCTGCAGATTAGTATGTACAGAGGGTGCAGGAGGCTGGAGTGGTGGCAGCACTTAGCCTTGCTATGGTGGAGCAGCTGACCGGAGGGAGTACTGGGCATGGTCTCCACCCAAATATGTGTGGGTCTCTGTGTTCCCTTCACTGCTATCAGTAGAATCTTTGCTGGTCTTGCAAATACATTGCTACACGGGAATAACTGGCATTTGAAATAGTTTCTCTTTACAAGCTTCTCTGTGGAAGGTAGAGTATATTGGCAGCTACTTTAGTTATAAGTGAAAAAAGTCAATTAGAGTCTTCCTTGCAATAGAGTGATTTTGAGGACAAGAGAGAAAACAGGAGTGGGCTAGAGAGAAAACGCAAGTCCAGAGCCTGAAAAGCTGCCCCAGGATCTCAGAACAGTTCATCTCTGTAGTGTTTTTGAGAGACAAGTTGAGGCGAGAATCCTGAAAAGGTGGATTAACTTCACTGATGGCTTATTTTTGTTTGGAGTCCCCACATAACCGAGTCTTGGGACTTAGAAATTGTCCTTGGTGCTGCATGGCATG